AGGGCCCTGCATAATTACTGTATGCATAATTAAGTATGGGGCTTAGTTACCCAGTTTTCTTTTTTTTCCCATGACATAATTATTATTTTCAGAGTTGATGCACACATGTACATGTATAGTGGAACCCCGATTTTTCGAACCCTCGATTTCTCAAAAAAACAGATTAAACTCAAACCAAAAGTCATTTCCCTTGTATTTGTTTCACTGTATTTTACCCCCGATATTTCGAACTCCCGATTTCTCGAACCAATTTTCGTTTCCCTTGAAGGTTCGAGAAATCGGGATTCCACTGTACTGTATGTGCAAACATTTATTAATTAAATATTTTTTTTCAGATTTGAATTTTTTTGACCAGAATTTATTATCAAACATCAATGGCTGTTTCACGCTAAGATGAAATTAGACAATTTTAATTTCTCTGAGACAAACAACTCATCTAAGCTATCTACAGTTTATATTGTCTCAATAACAGATAACTGTTCATAGATAAGTATTTCAAATTATATTTATCCTGTTTTCACAGTGGGTTGAGTTACTCGTTTGCGACAACTTATACATTTCTAATGAGAAAAACCACCAATATTTAGGATAAGTGTTAATCAATTTCTTTGTGTTTTTCATTTTTGTTTAAATATTAATGTCACACAAGCATCAGTTTCAGTTATGAATCTTAAGCATTCATTTTCGTCCCATATTGTTGTTCCTGTCTTTACACTTAAATCGTCAATACAGAAGCAAGACATTCATTTTCATTTTAATTGAGATACTTGCATGAATAATTAATCGTCTTCTTTGAAAAAGAACTAAATATTATATAAATCTTGAAACTCAAGACTTGAAGCCATTCAGTTTATATCAAGCGAGGTTTGAATTCTGTGTATACATGTAGTTTTGGCCGTAGCTACACAAGAAATGTTTTTGCTTGAAAAGGTGATACAATGGTTTGGAAGAAGGTTGTGTTACCAAGATAGATGCATTTATAAGTACGTGGTCACCTAAGCTCAAAAGAAGCAGCTGAAAAAAATAGGTAGTGAGAAATTGAACTTGATCGTCAAATAACAGCCATGCCACATCACCTACAAGCATACAACATAAAATACAAAAACAAGCTATACAATGGGGGTTTATAATCAGAAGAAGTTATCATCTTCCTTTAACCCTTTCAGTCCCAGAAGCAAGCATCGAAGTTAATTATTGTGTTTCTACCTTTTACGTAAGTTTCTCAAACTCATTAATAATTCATCAAGTTAAAACAAAGGAAATCATAACCGTGTCGGAGGTTTGGATACCCGGTCTTAATTAGCATAGATTTTTACGATTTTATTTCTCCGTTTACTCCTTAGTTTTTGTTTTTGATTGAGAAGATATATCAAACACTCGAGACAGTGTTTCATCGGCTATCCAAACACCTCGAATTTAGTCAAAAATACTCCGCTGCGCGTCGTATTTTCAACTCCATTCTCGGTGTTTGGATATCCTGATGAAACACTGTCTCTCGTGTTTGATATATTACGGAAACAACTCTAGTGTGTCACCATTCAAATGAAGGCTATGAAGCAGTGCTTTCATACATGTACATGTGGCACTGTTTGTTTTTCCATATTGTGCAAAATGAAATTTGATTTTTATTTCAATTTTGAGATCTGCCACTCTTGGGAGTGAAA